GGGAGGGGGGTGGGGGGGGGGAGATCGGGCCTAAGCCAGCAGACGGACCTCCCCTGAGGGGCCCCAGACTGTGAAAAGGCGCAGGCTGAGCTGAGGGACCCCACCCCCCAGTGCAAGAATTTTGTGCACTGGGCCTCTAGTAAGTATATAAGTTCTTTGGTTTATCTCTTCTTGTCCCCCCAAGCACATTTTTAATTTGGATGGCTATTGCCAAATTGCCCTCCACAGAGGCTGGTGCGGTGTTAGGGAGAGCCTGTTCTCTTGTCCTGCAGGTAAGCGCTCAAGTCAGCACAATATCTGGCATAGAGTCAACACTTATTACAACCCTGCAACCCCAGCTCCAGGGTCACAGGAAAATGCTGTGTGAGCCCTGAAACCCCACTCCAAGCGAGAGATTATGATGTTGTGAATGTGCCTCACTAGAAAGATCAGATGAGAGGGAGAAGGAGTCAAGGAACTCATTTCCACTCCCAGAGAAACCTCTTTAATCTACATATATAAAAGCCTAAGCGACCATTCAACAGGTAGCCATGATGCGCACTGACCACGAGGGGGCAGACGCTCAACACAGGAACTACCCCCTGGTGGTCAGTGCGCTCCCACAGTGGGAGCACCCGCTCAGCTGACCAACAAGTGCCAGATGGCTGGCGAGCACAGCTGTGGCAGTGCAAGCCTCTCACATGACACAGATCTTAGCTACAGTAAATAATGCTGCTACAAACATAAGAGTGCATATTTTCTTTCTGATTGGTTTTTCAGGCTTCTTAGGATATATTGTTAGAAGTGGGATCACTGGGATAAATGGTAGTTCCATTTTTAATTTTGTGAGGAAACTCCACACTGTGTTTAATAGTGGTTATACCAGTCTGCATTCCCACCAGCAGTGCACTAGGGTTCCCTTTGCTCCACGTCCTCACCAGCACTTGATGCTTATTGATTTATTGATAATAGCCATTCTGACAGGTCTGAGGTGGTACTCCATTGTCATTTTAGTTTGTATCTCTCCAATGATCAGTGACTTTGAGCATTTTTCTATATGACTCTTTGCTATCTGTATTTCCACTTCAGAGAAGTGTCTATTTAGGTCATTTGCTCATTTTTTAATTGGATTGTTTGTCTTCCTTTTGTTAAGTTGTATGAGTTCCTTATATAGTTTGGATATTAACCCTTTATCAGATGTATCATTGCCAAATATGTTCTCCCATACAGTGTGATCCCATTTCATTTTGTTGATGGTTTCTTTTGCTGTGCAGAGCTTTTTATTTTGATGTAATCCCATTTGTTTATTTTCTCCTTAATTTCCATTATCTTAGGAGATGTATCTGCAAACATATTGCTACTAGAGGCCCAGTGCACAAAATTCGTACACTGTGTGTGTGTGGGGGGGGTTCCTCAGCCTGGCCTGCACCCTCTTGCAGTCCAGGCCCCTCAGGGGATGTCTGCCTGTTGGCTTAGGCCCGCTCCCCTGGAAGTCAGATCCCTCTCACAGTCCAGAACCCCTCACTCCTTACCGCCCACCTGCTTGCTACTCCTTACTGCTCGGCTCACTGCTCCATTGTGCTGCTGTAGAGGCAGGAGAGGCTCCCGCCACCACAGCTGTGCTCACCAGCTGTGAGCCCAGCTTATGCCTGAGCGGCGCTCCCCTTGTGAGAGCGTGCTGACCACCAGGGGGCAGCTCCTGCATTGAGTGTCTGCCCCCTGGTGGTCAGTGTGCATCATAGGGACCTGTCATTCTGGTCATTCTACCATAACAGTTGCTTAGGCCTCTAGTAAAAAATAAAATAAAATAAAACTTTAAAAAATGCTAAACTAATAGTAATAATAATAATAAACAAAAATATAATAATAAAAAAGTGAAATAAAGTGAGAAAAAAATTAGTTTCTTAAGTAAAAGACAAAAAATGAAAAAGTGAAGTAGTGAAGTTCATTCACTTCAGTGGAGCTTCAATGACCCATGGGGGCTGGTTTAAGACCCCTCTCTACTGTTCTGCCTGGCACGTCTGTTTCCTGTCAGGTAGTCAGCACAGTGTTGAAGTTCCCAGTGATCCACTGCTCCTCTGTGTCATAAGCCACAACCTTGGTTTCAGGCAGGCAGGGTCACTCTGCTCACTTTGTTTCGCTGCCTGCCTTCAGTTCTATTTACACAAGCATCTATTTCTGACACAGCCCCTGGATGACAGTGTTTCTGTATTCATTTCTGGGACCAAATGGCCCCTCAACCCAGTCCCCCAGGGTTCCCTGGGGGTGTTTAGACTCTTCCTTTCCCTGCCTCACTCAAGACTGGGCTGGAGGAACAGACTGTCCCAGAGTTGGTTTCCTGTTCATCTCCCCCTATTCTGCTCCCCAATTTCCACAAAAACCACCTTCCCCTGCAGTCTCAGTGGGTGTTTTTAATGGAAAGATCCTATGCACTAGGTTTAGCAAGCAAAAGCAAGGAAGTTATAAAGACAAAGCAACCATGCCACCTCACATTTTTCTCCCCCCAGCACTGCATGGCCAGTATAGAACTTCAGGCTGCCTTCCTGGGCACAGTCTCCCATGGCTGTGTGCTTAGATCTAGAGCCCCCCTCTGCCAGCAGCCCTGTGGACCCCCTTCCACATCAGAGGGCTGCACTGACCACAAGGGCTGCGGATTTGGTGCAGCACAGTCTCCCTCTGAGATTCTAGTCCTGCCTGTGTGCGTTTCTCCCTCTAGCCCGGATTCCAGATCCCACCTCTCTCCAGGCAATCTCTGACTTTTCTGTCCACAGATTGCCTTACCAGCTGTGTTTAATTCACTAATTCCAGGTGGGTGTTATTCGATTCAGCTGTTCCTTCTATCTTCTCTGTGAGAAGGTGCAGGAACTGTCCGCATATTCGGCCGCCACCTTACCTTTCCTTGGACAAGCTTTTTAGGTGCCTGTGCCCAGGAAGGCTGGAGTCTTGGTGTTCGTGGGTTCACAGCTGAGGCAGTTGGTCCCTGGGCGTTGTGGTTGTAGGGTCACGGGAGGTATCCGAGGTCTCCCCGGATGAAGGTAAGGCTGGGCTTCCGATCACAGCCGCTCTCCCCTTCAACATGGCACAGTCTCTCCGGCAGAGCTGGAGAGATTTCAGCAGAGATTTCAGCAGTAGTAGAGGCTGCCCAGCCAGGGGAGCCTGGTCTGCCAGTCCCCACCAGTCCTGAGGAATATAGCTGTCCCTCACTCACAAATACACACACTCCCCGCATGTCCATGCACTCTCCTTTCGCTCTCTCACTCACTCACACTATCTTGCTGACTGCCATTCAGCTGGCTGCCATCTTGGATCTCCCTAATATATTCTGGTTGATCTCTTACTCTTTACCCCCCACCTTCCCTCATAGGTTGGACAGTCTGTTTGATGCTTTTATGACTGGTTCTATTTTTATTCATCAGTTTATGTTGTTCATTATATTCCACAAATGAGTGAGATCATGTGATATTTATCTTTCTCTAACTGGCTTATTTCACTTAGCATAATGCTCTCCCATTTTATCCATGCTGTTGCAAAAAAACAGTAGTTAGATGCCACGAAGTAGGTGGCAATGCCTTGACCATATGCATGTTGTTAGGCCCGAGAACCTCTTCCATCCTTGTGAAGGGGAGTGCTAACCTTCACTCCTTTCATACAACACTCCCAATACCATTTATTGAAGAGATTGTCATGACTTCATTGTATCCTCTTGCTGCCTTTGTCAAATATTAATTGACTATAATAGCTTGGGATGATTTCTGGGTTCTCTGTTCTGTTCCATTGATCTCTATGCCTATTCTTATGCCAGTACCAGGCTGTTTTGATTACAGTGGTTTTGTAGTATAACTAGATATCTGGTATTGTTATCCCTCCAACTTTTTTCTTCTTTCTCAAGATTGCTGTGTCTATTTGGGGTCTTTTTTTGTTTTTGTTGTTCCATATAAATTTTTGGAGTATTTGTTCTAGATCTGTGAAATATGCTGTATGTGCTGTTGGTAATTTAATAGGGATTGCATTGAATCTATAGATTGCTTTGGTTAGTATGGACATTTTAATGATGTTAATTCTACCAATCCATGAATATGCTATATTCTTCCACTTGTTTATGTCTTCCCCTATCTCTTTTTTCAACATCCTGTGGTTTTCTGAGTACAAGTTTTACCTCTTGGTTAAGTTTGTTCCTAAGTATCTTAATTTTTTTGTTGCAATGGTAAATGGGATTGTTTGTTTAGTTTCTCTTTCTGAGAATTCATTATTGGTGTATAAAAATGCCATCAATTTCTGGGTGTTAATATTGTTCCTGCTACATTGACAAATTTATTTATTAAATCTAGTAGTTTTTTTGGTGGCCTTTAGGGTTTTCTCTGTACAATATCATGTCATCTGTGAATAATGATAGCTTTACTTCTTCCTTTCCAATTTGGAGGCCTTTTATGTTTTTTTCTCGACTGATCACTGTGTCTAGGACTTCCAGTACTATGTGGAATAAGAGTGGTGAAAGCAGACATCTTGTCTTGTTCCTGTTCTTAGGGGAAATAGTTTTAGTTTTTACCCATTGAGTATTATGTTAGCTGTATTATGTTGTTATTGATTTGGGAATATTGTACCAGCCTTGCATCCCTGAAATAAATCCCACTTGGTCAGGGTGTATGGTCTTTTTAGTATATTGCTGGATCAGATTTGCTATTTTGTTGAGGATTTTAGCATCTATGTTCATTAGGGATATTGGCCTGTAATACTCTTTCTTTGTAGTGTCTTTATCTGGTTTTGGAATTAGGCTAATTCTGGCCTCGTAAAAGAAGGTTGGATGTATTTCTTCATCTTGAATTTTTTGGAATAGCTTAAGGAGGATAGGTGTTAGTTCTTCTTTGAATATTTGGTAAAACTTCCCTGTGAGGCTGTCTGGACCAGGGCTTTTGTTTTCTGGTACCTTTTTTTTTTTTTATTACTGCTTCAATTTCATCAGTTGTTATCAGCCTATTCAGGTTTTCTGTTTCTTCCCCATTCAGTTTTGGAAGATTGTATATTTCCAAGAATTTTCCCATTTTGTCCAGGTTTTCCAGCTTGTTGGCATATGGTTGTTGATAGTAATTTTCTTACAATCCTTTGTATTTATGTAGTGTCAGTTACTTCACTGCTTTTGTTTCTGATTTTATTTATTTGGGTCCTCTCTCTTTGTTTCATGATGAGTCTGGCTAAAGGTTCATCAATCTTGTTTATCTTTTAAAAAAAACCAGCTCTTGGGTTCATTGATATTTTGTAGTGTTTTTTAGTCTGTAGGTAATTTATTTATGCTCTGATCTTTATTATTTCCTTGCTTCTACTTACTCTGGGCTTTTCTTGTTCTCTTTCTAATTCTTTAAGTTGCAGGATTAGATCGCTTATTAGAAAAATGTCTTGTCTCTTGAGGTAGGCCTGTGTAGTGCTCTCAAGACTGTTTTTGCTGTGTCTCACAGATTTTGGGTTGTTGTGTGTTCCTTTTCTTGTTTCCAGGAATTTTTCTTTTCTTTTATCTCTTGGTAACCCATTCATGTTTAAAAACATGCTATTTACCCTCCATGTGTTTGAATGTTTTTGGTGTGCTTTTATTGTAGTTGATTTCTAATTCCATGCTATTGTGATTTGAGAAGTACTTCATATGATTTCAATATTCTTGAACTTATAGAAACTTATTTTATGTCCTAACACGTGGTCTATCTTTGAGAATGTCCCATGTGCACTTGAGAAGAATGTATATTCTGCAGCCTTGGGGTAAAATATTCTGTAAATGTCAATTAAATCCATTTGATCTAGTGTGTCATTTAGGGTCACTATTTCTTTGTTAATATATATTTTAGAATACCTATCCAGTTATGTATATGGTATTAAAGTCCCCTAGTATGACTGTATCACTGTCTATATCTCCCTTAAAGTCCTCCAGAAATGTCTTTATATACTTGGGTGCTCCTATATTGGATGAATATATGCTTATCAGGATTATATCTCCTTGTTGTATTGATTCCTTTAGTATTATGAAGTGGTCTTCATTGTCTCTTGTCATGGCCTTCATTTTGAAATCTATTTTGTCGGATATTAGTATTACTACTGCAACTATCTTTTCATTTCCATTTGCATGGAAATTATTTTTCCATACCTTCACTTTCATAGTGTGCAAGTCTTTTGTTCTGAGATGTGTCCCTTGTACACAGCATATACGTATATGGGTCATGTTTTCTTATCCATTCAGCTACCCTATGTCTTTTGATTAGAGCATTTAATCCATTTACATTTAAGGTTATTATTGATAGGTACCTATTTGTTGCCATTTTTATTCATTATGCTTGTGTTCCTTTCTCTCTCTCTCTCTCTTCTTCTTACAGCAGTCCTTTTACCATTTCTTGCAGTGCTGGTTTAGTGGTAATAAACTCCTTAGCCTTTTTTTGTCTGTGAAGCTCTTTATTTCACCTTCAATTTTGAATGATAGCCTTGCTGGATAGAGTAGTCTTGGATTCAGTTCCTTGCTTTTCATTACTTTTTACATTTCATGTCACTCTCTTCTGGTCTGAAGTGTTTCTATTGAGAAACCAGCTGACCTTCTAATGGGAGATCCCTTTTAGGTAATTTTCTGTCTCTCTCTTGCAGCCTTTAAGATTCTTTCTTTGTCTTTAACATTTGCCATTTTAATTATGATGTGTCTTGGTATGGGTTGTGTCGAGTTCATCTTGATTGGGACTCTCTGTGTTTCCTAAACTTGAGTGACATTTTTCTTCACCAGGCTAGGAAAGTGCAAGAAAGTTCTGCCCATTCAGCTGCCATCTTCTCCCTTCTGAGTTTGCTGGAGTTCTGGCCTTTCTGAAGCATTTTGACACTCACCTGTAGTTATCAGCCCTGGATCACAATAGGATCCTCTGGTGAACTTTCCAGAAATACCAATGCCAGGGCCCCATCCCCCTGATTCTTATTTCAATATCCTGAGTAGAACCCAGGCATTGGCATTTTATAAGTTCCCCAGAAAATGCTAGTGTGAAGCCACAGCCAAGAAGGACTGTCAAATATCATCCTCTGAAATGGAAGAAACTGATAAAGTGCTCGTGGAAGGGCTTATGCAATAGTTTTGTTTTTTTTTATAAAACAGTAATGCTTTCCCCCCACAAGGAGCAGGGCTAAAGCTTTATAGTCCTCATCTCAATTAATACTTTATGAGAAAGGCAGTAGGGCTATAATTCCCAGGGTTCTGACAAGGAAATGGCTGAGAGGGTGGAGTGCCTCCCAGCCCACCCAGCTGGCCAGTGGCAGTACTGAGTCCAGGTTGCACAGTGTCTCACCATGGACACAGCACACACTCACGCCGGCCTCCAAGCCCTGACCCCATTCTTTCTAGAAAAAAGAGTAGAAGAAAATACACCAAAATGTTAATGATGATTATCTTTGGCTGATGTGATTATGGATAATGTTTTCTTCCATATACTTTTCTGCATTTTTCAAGTTTTGATCAGTGAGCATGTATTATGCTAATAATCTCAAGCAAATAAAAGTCCTTTCAAGGTGTTGAAGTAAATACCATTGTCATTTTCTGGAAGAGCAAACTGAGGCCAATGGAGTCCAAAGGAAATGAATGACAGAATTAGGGATAAGCCTGTCACCCAAGTCCCATACAGTCCTGAGACCCCTCAGGGGGTGAAGCAAGTGTGATCTGATCTTTACCTATAAGATGAGGCTCTAACCCAACGAGGTGTGTCTCAGTGGTTGAGTGTCGACCTATGAATCAGGAGGTCACAGTTTCATTCCCAGTCAGAGCACATGCCCAGGTTGCAGGCTCCCTCCCCAGTGTGGGCATACAGAAGGCAGCCGATCAGTGATTCTCTCTCATCATTAATATTTCTCTCTCTCTCTCTCTCTCTCTCTCTCTCTCTCTCTCTCTCTCTCTCCCTTCCTCTCTGAAATAAATAGAAATATACTTTGAAAAAAGATGGGGCTCTAGAAAGGTGTGAAAAAATGCTCCAAAGTCAAAATTCTTGCACTGTTTTAATTTGATTATATATGCTCTTGTAGAATAAGCAGAAAAATGAAAATAAAGCAAAGCAACCTGAAATCTCACCACCCAGAAGTAAACAGTAGGAAAACTTGGGGTCCTATTCTTTCAGGCAAGTCTTTTTATAAATACTCATACAGATCCAAGTAAGCATCATATTTTATCAATGGGCCATGTTGTACACATGTAGTTTTGCAAATTTTTTTTTAAATTCAATATGTCATGGGCATGTCAGTCTTAGAATGGCTGCATAGTGTTATATGGGTGTGCCATAAAGCATTTCCAGTGGTTCTCAACCTTCCTAATGCTGCGACCCTTTAATACAGTTCCTCATGTTGTGGTGACCCCCAACCATAAAATTATTTTTGTTGCTACTTCATAACTGTAATTTTGCTACTGTTATGAATCGTAATGTAAATATCTGATATGCAGGATGTATTTTCATTGTTCGCGACCCACAGGTTGAGAACCGCTTAGCCAATCTCCTCAATGGACATGAGTTGTACCTAACCAATCTTGTTTTAATTGTGTTGGATAAAGGACATTCTAATATAGTCCTAAAAATAACTCTGGAGTAAAGTTTTTTTGTTTGTTTTGTTTTTGTACAGTGAACAGTGACTAAATTGGGGTATGTGGATGTGAGAGTGTGTGTGTAAATGTGTGTCTTCATGGGCTGAATTTGATTTAATTAATCTAAAGAGCATTAACCCCATATAGATCTTATCAAGCCTCTCTCTCTCTCTCTCTCTCTCTCTCTCTCTCTCACACACACACACACACACACACACACACACACACACACACACACACACACACACATTTGCAGGTGAGCTGTGGTTGCATAGCCTTCTTGAGAAGAGCTGGGCAGAGTGACCTGATGAGGCCATGAGGCCAACAGCCAAGGTCAGGTTTTCTACCAGCTTGGGCTCTGAGCCAAGAGTTTGCTCTTAAAAAATGCCTGTAGGCAATCACACACACGTGCACACACACACACACACACACACACTAGCCAATCTCATTCTCTTTGCATGCAAGATGTGGGGCAGCAATAGTATCGCACATCTGGAGGCAGCATAATTGAGTGGCTGAGGGCATTAAGTCCTTGATTAAACTGGTTGTTCATTTGAAGGGACAATTAACCCAGCTAATATTCCAGGCCAGCCCACTGGGTCCATCCCCATCAAAGGACATACTGAACAGATAATAAAGACTTTATGGAGGAGAATAAAGCTCTGGGCTCCTTACCTGAGGCTCACTGCCCAGGTCAAGCTGAGGCTATGGACACGTCAAAGCAAGGAGACTCCAATTCCAGCCCGCCTGGGGTTGTGGGAGCTTGAGAGGATAGTCCTTCTGAGGAAGTTCTCTCACAAATGAAATGGCTTCCCTCTCTGCTCGACTTTGCCACATCTACGTATGAGCTTAGAGCTTCAGCAGCCATCTTCACCTGTGATATTGATAATCCATGCAATATCATCTTCACCACATCAGTGAGGCCATGTGGGGACCTCACTGAATCTGCCCTACTCTGGGCCTTTCGCTGCATCACAGCTTTCTTACTGTTTGAGCCAGTGGTTCAGAGTTCCCTGTTTCAAGGAGCAGAAAGCATCCTAATAAAATGGGCCCCTCTCATCACTACCAGCTTCCTAGTAGAGGAAAGGTATAGAACAGCGGTTCTCAACCTGTGGGTCGCGACCCCTTTGGCGGTCGAACGACCCTTTCACAGGGGTCGCCTAAGACCATCCTGCATATCAGATATTTACATTACGATTCATAACAGTAGCAACATTGCAGTTATGAAGTAGCAACGAAAATAATTTTATGATTGGGTCACAACATGAGGAACTGTATTTAAAGGGCCAGAAGGTTGAGAACCACTGATATAGAAGGAAGGACACAGGGAAGAATCTTCCTCCCTTTCTCTTCCAAAGCCTGATGTCAATCATGGGACAAGATGTCCCCAAAAGCACACATGTTCTCAATTGCCTGGAGCCTAGAAGGTTGAATCCAATAACTTCACTTGTTCTTGCCAGAGGGGTCGGACAACACAGGTGACTATGCTGAGAGAGCAGGGAAAGGGAGCCAGGGCTTGGCCTCAGTGAGCTACTTAGGTCGGACAGGGCCAGAGTAATTTCTAGTCAGTTGCCAAGCTTGGCTTGAGATTCCCAAAGGGTGGGTGAGACAAAGAGTGGGTAAGAGTAGAAGTGGGTGGGCATCCCCAGCCCCTGAAGGAACATATAAAAACATCTCCCGTGACGGAAGTGTGTTCACGCTATGGGCTGTGCTATGGGCTTTGCATGGATTACCAATATCATCTTCACCACACCTGTGAGGCAGATGCCATTAATCCACTTCCAGGCAGGGCCAGAGGGGTTAGGCTTGTACAAAGGCACACATTGAGGAAGATTGAGGCAGGATTAAAATATAACATGGTACAACTCTAAAGCTCTTACCCATGCTTTCTTAACTTATGTGTTCATCTGTCCAGCCAGCCAGCCACCAATCCATTCTTCTATTCATCTTACAAATATTATCTGATCATCTGTCCCTTGTCAAGCGCTGTGCCAGGTGCCAGGAATGAAGTGATGACAGCCAGGAGCCCTGCATTCTCAGCATCCTGAGTGGACAGGGGCACCCTTGGCTAAGGCTGATGACTACACGTAGGCTAAGGGTCAGGCCTCTCACACCACTCAGGCAGGATTTAGGAAGACAGTTCCTCATAGCTATAGAAGGGTGTGTGCTTGGAGTCTTCTGAGCCATGAGATCACAGACCCTGCATTGGGTTTGAGTCTTGGCCCTGTACACTTACTATTGGTGAGACCATGAGCAAGGCACTTTCTCTGGGGCCTCAGTTTTCTCATCTACATAGTTGGGATAAAAATATCTATATGCTCTTTGCAGGGGTGTTGGGAGCATAAAGAAGCTTTGTAAACTCCTATGTTCTAGGCAAGTATCAAGCAGTAAATACACTTGCCCTGTGTTTGAAGAAGATATGTTCTGCTTTTTTAAAAAATATATTTTTATTGATTTCAGAGAGGAAGGGAGAGGGAGAGAGAGATAGAAACATCAATGATGAGAGAGAATCATTGATCGGCTGCCTCCTGCACGCCCACTACTGGGGATCGAGCCAGCAACCAGGCATGTGCCCTTGACCAGAATTGAACCCAGGACCCTTCAGTCCTCAGGCTGGCGCTCTATCCACTGAGCCAAATCAGCTAGGGCATATGTTCTGCTTTTGATGTGATCAGCAAGTCCCAGATAAGAATAGCCTCTAAAAGCTTCTTTATGTGTTTTAGATGTGTCCTGGCACACACCATTCTGGAACCCCCTGGAGTCTTGTATGTGCCTTAAGGGAAGAAGCTGGGGCCCAAGTGGCTATGCAGGCCAAGGTGGCACAGTGGCTCAGATGCCCACGCTCTGGTCCAGAGCTCTGCCCCAACACCACTGGCCATGTCAGAAGAGCGAATGCTTGCTTTTGGTTTAGATATTTGGGAGATTCTATTAGCCAGAAGGGCATCAGAGATGAGTGTGTTTTCTTCTAGATGTAAAGGACAGTGTGTGACCCCCTGGTGGCTCTGGGGTGGAGCAGTGTGCCAGGTGAGGAGCAAAACTGAGCTTATTCCGCAGTGTGACTCACAGCAAAGGGCACCCTGTGCCAGGGCCAGGGCCCGAAGCCTATGCCTTCGCCTCCTGAGAGACGGTGTTTCTGTTAACTGCTCCTCCTGCAAGAAGAGCAGTGTGACTCACAGCAAAGGGGCACCCTGTGCCAGGGCCAGGGCCCAAAGCCTATGCCTTCGCCTCCTGCGAGACGGTGTTTCTGTTAACTGCTCCTCCTGCAAGAAGCCACATGAGGGGTCATCTTCCAGGAGGCTGTCTTGGGAGGCCTCTGCACCTTCCTGCTCTTGGCCTTGGAGATGTTCGCAGTGGGCTTTGCAGAGAGCAGCAAGTGCTCTTAACCCTCCGCCTGACCTGTGTGAGGGCTCAGGCAGTTTCTTTGGCTTGAAGACCCTTGGAAGCTCCTTTCTGAAAGGCAATGGTGGAGGGCGCATCTGCTCTGTGTCGCCTGCTAACGTGATCCCAGGTCCTCAGCATCTCACCTGCTGGTTTCCCAGGAACTAAAACATGGGGATCAGAGTGGGAGGGGAAAGAAATAAGAATAGATTCTGTTGAAACTTAGGCCTTCGAGTTAAACATATAGAGCCCAGAATAAGTGTTCCACTTTACTCTAAATAAAGCCCCCCTCCTCTCTCTCTCTCTCTCTCTCTCTCTCTCTCTCTCTCTCTCTCTCTCTCTCTCTCTCTCTCTCTCTCTCTCTCTCTCTCTCTCACACACACACACACACACACATCCTTCTATAGCTATGGGTAATAAGCAGCCTTGTTTGGAGTGTCCAGGCAGGTTTCACATGTGTGTGGTAGAAGCGTATGAACATGTCTCTCTGTATACATGTGCATACATGTACCTCTGTTGGCTCTTGTGTGTACACATCTCTATAAATGAGTGATGCAAATGACCTCCCCACACCTGTAAGTCGATGTAGACATGCTTTTGTGCAGATGAGTGTTCCCAGCACCTGTTGTGTGCCTGTGGGGAAGGGGCTCCCTGTGGCCGGTGTCGCCCAGTCGGGGTTTGCAGGCCCCCGTGGGCAGGAGGAACTGGTCAGCACCAGGGTCAGGGGTGGCGGAGCCTCCTCACCTGGTCAATAAGGTGAAGCAATCTGAGATCCTAGAAAGGGAACTTCCTGTTTTTATAGCATCTATGGACTCCCGGGCTGACAAACCCCATATTTAAAGGTTGAAAATACCAATTTTATAAGGTAAAGACCGATGTTCATTTATCTCTATTAAAGGCATTTACAAATGATTAATTGATTAAAAGGAGTAGAAAAGAAAATCATCTAAAATCTCACACCACTGTGATTTATCTGATATTAAAGTTTAGTTAGGGTATCCTGAGCAAGAATTCTGCCTAAAAAATGCAGAAATAAATGTTTTAATACCAAAGAATCAATAAACTATGCTAAGACTGAGACACCAAGCAATATGCGGGAAGAGCTCTGAAGGTCTTGGCTGTCTGAAGAGCTGTGTCTGTCTGTGCACATGTGAGTGTGTGTATGCATGTGTTGCGTGTGAGTCTATGTGTGCCTGTGTATGTGTGCCTAGGTGTGTACATTAGATCTTTGTATGTGTCTGTGTTGATACTGTATATGTGTCTTATGCATGTGAGTGTGTACAGTGTATGGGTGTCTCTTTGTGTGTCTATGTTGCGTGTGCATGTGTGTACATGTGTGCATTGTATGTGCATCTGTGTATGTGTATATGTGTGTATGTTATATATGTGTCTGTATGTCTGTGGATATGTGTAGTAAATGTGGGTCGGTGTGTTCATGTGCGTGTATGTGAGTGAGTGTGTGTTCATATGTGTGTATCTGAGTGTGTGTGTGTGTGTGTGAGACCTTGGATATGTCATCCTGTGCCTGGCCTACAGTTCCCATAATTACAATAGGAGGTGTGAGGACAACATGAACTCTTGGTTTCTGTGGGCACTGTCTGCTCAGCTCTCCTGTCGGGGCTCTGATGGTCCCTCAATCTCCCTCCTGCTCTGGAAAGTCTCCCACTGGCCTTTCACCCTCCCTGCTCCCAAGTGATTGTGCGGTCCTTCCCGTGTCCACACACTGTCCCAGCCGCTGCGGAGCTGAGCCCTTTGCCTGTGTTGCAAACTCAGCCATCTCTCGCCTTTACACTGAGTGACCTTGGGAAGCCCCTCCTCCTGCCTGGACTGCAGGCAGGAAAATGAGGCCATGAGAAACACCTCCAACTTTGACATTCTCAATATGCAGGCTTCCTGCCCCAGGTGAGCAGGTGGGATCTGGGACATGGTCCAGGAAACGCCACACACACTACTCTCCTCTCCAGACTGGACACTCCTCCACGGCATGCAGCGTCCCAGCGGCAGCACAGGGCCTGGCACAGAGCGAGGTATGAAGCATGTGCAGAAAGAGGCGAGGCTGATTAGCTGAATCAGCACCCCTACAGCCTCCCCTCCGGCACCCTCCGCGCACCAGATTTAGGACTCAGAATGCTCTCTCTCTCTCTCTCTCTTTCTCTTTCTCTCTCTCTCCCTCCCTTCCTCCCTCCCCCTGCACTACAGAGCCACCTGGGAGCACTTACCAGTAATGGTGCCCAGTTCTTCTCAGACCAAGTGAATCAATCTCTTCAATCTCTGAGCAGAGGTCCAGCCTTCTGCATTGTCAAAGTTCCCACGTCGCTCTAACGTGCAGGGCAGGCTGGGAACCGCTGCCCTAGTGGCCAAAGACTCTCCAGACACTCTCAGCAGAGCCCAGATGAAAGGTCTTAAGCCATGACTCTGCTTCCAAGTTTCCTGCTGAGCTATAGCATACAAATATCAAGCCTCCCCGAGTTTCTAATTGCAGTGGTCTGGCCTGGACCTGGAAAGTCGCACCTAACTCAGCCCCAGGCCCCTGGTGCTGGCGCAGGCGGTCCTCGGTCCTCTCAGAGCCAGACCGGGGGGCTTCAGAGGCAGAGCTGTGTAGGAATGCCCCCGCCTGAGTGTCACAAGCTGCTTCAGAATAAGCATCACTAGTGGTAGGAAACCCTAGCTTCCTGCTGCCCCTCATCCTCAACTTTGAGACATTCTTAAAAGCCAGCCTGGCTGTCCCTGCCTTTGTTCAAAGGCTCTGGTGATGATACCTGGTCCCTCGTGCAGCGTGTGAAGACCCGGGGGGGTCATCCAGGGCCTCGTCTCGAGCCTTCTCCCATGGCTGTTATGCCTCTACGTGCGCAGTTCTCTCTGCTCGGCTCACTCCTGCCTGTCTCCTCGCCTGGCTGGGCTAAACTCCTACTCACCTCTCGGGTCTCCTGACCCCACATTGGTCCAAGTCACCACTTACCCCTCTCACAGCTCCTAGAGCCCCAGGCGTAAGTCCTGGGTCCTCCACCAACCCACACCCTTCAGGAGCACAGGAACTGGGCCACCTGTGCCCACTGCTCTCCATGGTAACCACATGTCTGCCCAGGGCCTGCCATGTAATAGGTGCTCAATAACTATTTGCAGAATGAATAAATGAAATTACATAAACACGCATTTCTTCAGTCTCAGTGATTCTTACCCCAATAGGTTTTCCATCCACATCGAGTGAGCAGGCAGGGAATGTATAATTGAGGTTGTTTTGAAAATGCAGCACAGCAGCTATAAGCTGCATGTGTGTGTGTTCAGGTAGTCATGCACACATGTGGACATATACAAACGTACATGTGTGGTAGTTAGAGGCTGAGGCTGCATTTAGGTTGAACTCAGAGACATCCTTTACCCAACAATCATGCAATGGTTCCTGGGAGTTCGGTTTTCTCCCTGGAACACAGGCCTCCTCCAGGTCCACAGGGTGTGCAGTGCTCAGAGCCTGAGTGCCTGGGGGTGGGGACAAAGGGAGCCTCAGTTGACTGGAGTTTAACCAGAGAAGGGTTTGGGGATAGTAGAAAGAGCATAGCTCTGGAGTCTGACTGGGGTGATTTCAAATCCATGCCCTGATTTTTCCTCGCCAGCTTTGTGACCTAAGACCAGTTTTCAGTGTCCTGCTCTGCCCAGAAAAACACGGGTAACTCAGCCAGCTGGTGGTGCTGACAGGTAGAACTGGCTGGCGAGGCAATATGCTTTGCTCTCACCTTTTAAAAGGTGTTGATCCCCCAACACTGCCTAGCATAGGGCATTACATATAGTCAGCGCTTAATGAAAATCTGGCTGCTTGCCCTGGCCAGGTGGCTCAGTTTGTTGGAGCAGCGTCCTGTACACTGAGAGATTATAGGTTTGATTCTTGGTCAGGGCATGTATGGGAGGCAACCGATCAATGTTTCTCTCTCACATCAATGTTTCTCTCTCTCCCTTCCTCTTGCTCTAAAATCAATAAACATATCTTTAGGTGAGAATATAGAAAGAAAGAAAGAAAGAAAGAAAGAAAGAAAGAAAGAAAGAAAGAAAACCTGGTTGGCTTGATTTAGCACCTGGCCCAGGGACTGGCACAGAGTAGATACTCAATAGTTCCTCCTGGAAACAGTGCTGACCTGAGACTCAGGGGGCCTGGGGGCACAGCCCAGTTCTGTGTGTGTGTGTGTGTGTGTGTGTGTGTGTGTGTGTGTGTGTATGTGTGTGTGTGTTGCTGTCCCTGTGACCTTGAACAAGCACATACCCTTTTCCTGGGCCCCAGCTTCTTCCAAGGTCAAAGGAGTGGGCTGAGCCCCTGCTGCCTCATTTTTCCATGTTAAGTTTCACCTTGTTTGAGAGGCTTCTGCCCAGGGGTGGTGAGGTCCTGGCTGGGTCCCCCAGGAGGCTGGTGCAGACCAGGGTGCAGGCTGCCAGCACCAATCTGGCCCTGCTCCTGGCCTCAGGGAGGGGAGCCGTGTTCCTCTCCGACCTGCTGATAATAGAAAAGGGCTCCTTCAATTGAGCTGTTTCCTTCTTTTGCCCTAAGCTATGAGGAGTAGATTGGATGGAAATTATCAAGCCTTCTCATCTAGAATAAATATTCTTGAAATGGAGCAAGTTATAAATAAGCAAGCAGCAATCTCCTGTGTTATGAATATATAATTTCCATCTTTAATAGCTGACTTGGCCCCAGGGACTATCTGAAAATGGCCTGTCTGGTCCTGATATTTTATGTTTTTTTAAAAAAAGGCCTCCAAACTTTTGTTTCTGAGTCCTTGGAGAGTTAAGTCTCTGGGGGAAATAATGAGAGTTGAAAGTCACAGTGAGCCCAAGTATCAAGGGCAGGTACTTTATTTTCAAAAAACCCCAGAGAATGCAAAGGCTCACATAGAATTGGAGAGTGAAGGCTGAGAGGGGCAGCTGAGCTTGGCTTGTCCCACCCTCTCATTTTACAGAAAGGCAGAATGACTGCCCAAAGACACAGCAGTGAACTACATTCTACAAGTCTAGAAGCAGGCCTGTCAGATTCACCGGGCTGCTGGAGGGCTCTCTCTTCCAAGAGGCTGAGGAGAGAGACTGAGGATCCAGATTCTGGAGTTCACAAAATCCTCCAGGGATGACTGACAAGGTTTGCCTCCAGTGGTGGCCCAAGAATGAGGGGAGTTGCCTTGGCTCAGAGGCAAAATTATGAGGCCCAGTAAGCACTGGGCACTGAGTTTTCTCAGACCTTGAGCCAAGTCTGTGTCTCAGCCTTGCATTCAGGAGCCTGACACCTGTCCTTTCTCCTTCTGTAGCCCCAACATCCAAGGATGGGATACTGCCTGGCGTGCAGCCTGGTGTCATGAGGACAATGGGCTGTGGGGCCTCACAGATCCCATCTGACCATTGACTCCTCCACTTCCCAGCTCTGCGGTACTGAACAAGCTTCTCTTAGCCTTGATGTCCTAATCTGTCAAATGGGAATGAGGATGGCTGATAGGATTAAAGGAGACAATGTGTGTAAATCAGACCACTGCACTGGGACTGTCCCTGTCTGAGAGCCCCTGGTTTGGATGAGCCCAACAATTGTGTGTTCATTCATCTCACCTCCTGGAGATAATGAATCTTCTCCAGAGCCCACATTCTCCTCCTTGGCCCACAGCAGTGTCCAGTGTAGGGCAGCCATACTGCAGGTGTCCAAGCCAGGCCATATGGATAGCTGAGCACCTACCAGGGCCTGGTGACACGTCTAGTAATGGCTACCAGTTATCAGCATCGACTCTGGGTTACATTCAGAAATGCACTGACTCATTTTATCCTGAGCACAACACTACAGGACAGGCGTTGTTGTCCCCATTTTAAAGATGAGCAAAAGGAGGTTTGCTAGGTGATTAAGGAACTTGCCCAAAGTTATACAGCGCGGCATGGCAGGGCTAACACCAGCCTAATGCAGAACCTCTTTTCCCTCTTCTCCATCACCTTCTTGCAGGATGACCTGCTTTTCCAGGATCAGAGTAAAGCTGGAAAGCGAATGAATTAAGCAGCAGGGCCCCTACGGTGGGAGCAGGGGCGGGTGGGGAGATATTAATGCCTGTGCAGTGTGTGCGTTAAAATGTAAATGTCCTCTCCTGTGGGTCTCAGGTACATTCATAATTATGAGCCAGCATGTGCGTTCTGATTTTGATCGCATTTGCTCTAATAGCTTTATGTTTTTAAGCCGTTTAATTACTAATCAGTGCTGCCTCGAAAGCTAATGTGAGATGTGCACTTTGCATCTGGGACAAGGGCTTCCTCAGTGGGCAGCAGGGAAGCCTACAAGGGGCCTGAGGGTGGGCCAGCTGATGTCTCCCTCCTTGAGAGGTGCTCTGCAGCCCCCAGCCCTCCCTGCCATTTGCCACTTGTCTCTGAAACCACAGAATCCGTATATCTGGAAAGAACCTCAGCAATTGGCTAGCCCATTCCCCCTCCTTCCCTCACAAAAGGGGAATCTGAGGCCCCAAAAGGTGCCATGGGTTGCAATGACTGGCATTTGTGGGGTTTCTTTCTTACTTGCTAGGTGATTTCTAGCATATATGTTCATTTGCATTCCTAATTTCAGTAGTCAAAGACTTTCCCATGCTAAATCCTCATTTTTTGAAGCTAAGTTAGGTCTCATTTTCATTAATAGCTTGGCAACAATCACGCAGTGGAAAATTTCCCCAGGTGGGAAAAAAAGAGTCTCAGCCAGGATATCAGGATGTCTGCTAGCTCCTGCTGTGTGTCTCTGGACAAGCTGGGTCACCTCTCTGGTCTGTGATTTCCTTCCAAAGTCAATGCAGGCATTGAGTTATCTCAGTATTTTTCTAAACACTGTTCTATAAAACACTCTGTAAAGCAGAGCATGCCACAGCATGTAAATATTTGTTATTTAGGAACAATTTTTTGAAAGGTTACATGGTCTAATAAGTTTGGGCAATGCTGGATTCAAGTTAAGTTACTTTTATGTATTTATTTATTTGCCAACATACACAGCACCTTGTGGCCTCTAAGAGGAGCGGACCTTTTCATAGCGCACTTGTCAATGTCTTCTGTGCACAGAGCTCCTGGGAGAATGGGCTGAGAAACCTGGTGGGGAGGGGTCCCAGGTATCCTCTGACCTCATTCTCTGAACTTCTGTGCCCCTAAAAGACAAGGAATAAAGGAGACAGCTCTTATGACATCCTCTCAGCCTTAAGACTTGAACCATCACTTTTCCCAAACGTCACTACACTCTGTTCAGGGCACTCTCAGACTACGCACTCTGAGGCCAGCTCAGGCCTTGATTTCGCCACTCCTTGGCCACAATACCTGTACTGCCTTTCTGCTCCACCAACCTCTGTGTCCCCTCAGCCCAACAGGATCCTGGCCATCTCTTTATCCGCCCCACCACTCCCCAGCCCCAGCCCTGCCCCCACATGAAAACTTATGCAGAGGCAGCAATCTCAGCCCCGGAAATGAACCCAGGCTTGGGATCAGAGCCAGATTCAAGTTCTGCCTTTGCAACTTCCTTGTTCTATATTCTAGGTCAGTGGCTGACCTGAGAAGTGATCATGGTACTGACTGCCTCGCTCTGGGATGAAGATGAGAAGGACCTGATGTTTTGCTTTAGCCAACGTCCCTTTGAAAGCAAAGCCTGAGGCAAAGGCTAGTGTGTCACTGGTTTTTGTTTCGGGGTTTTTTTGTCACTATTTTTTGAAGAGTGCAGCCCCAGGGATACAGGAGTGAAAGAAATAAGCAAAGCTGGAGAGAGAAAAAAAGCAAGAGGATATGAGTCCAGAAGAACGTAGCTACCCAATGGTGTCAAACGTGACTGACTGGTTGATCTCTTGAAAATGTCTTTCAGAAGACTAGATGGTGACTGCTTCTTAGGACAGTCCATCCACGGGGAGGACGGGGGAGCAGGTGCCCAGAGGCTCCTGTGTCCCGCTGCTCAAAGGCCTGCCCGGGCGGGGTTTCCCCCGCCACGCTTCCTGTGCGCGGTGCGCGTCCTGCGCGGGTCCTATTGATCTCAGGTCTCAACATGACCAGGGAGCCCGGAGCAAGAGTGACCTGTGTGTGGCGCAGACAGGAGGGGAAATGTTTGGGTGTGCCTACATTAACGTGCCAGTCACACAGAGCTGGCCGCGGACGGAGGAATGTGCCAAAAAAAAAGTGTCTAAGCCCCTGGAGAGGGATCTGGAGTCATGCAGAAGCGTCTGTGCGTCCACCCTCACACCACCAGCCGCTTCTGCCTTCCCACACCCCACTCCCACACTGCAGCCGGGGGCCTCGGCTCTGTGTGAAAACAGATGTTCTCCCTTTTCCTCCAAGAATAGGTACAAGTCCAATTAGTCTGGGAAGACTTAAGGCACCGGGTTACTGAAACAAGCCACAGTCCCTGCTGCTCTCGCTCCTCCTGAGGCCCCCGTGCATAGTCATCGCATCTCACATCCATGACTCAATCTTCATGTCCCACATCCTCCACCAGCAATTGGCTTACCAGGTGGGTGACCTGGAACATCATCCCTAAGGACTTTGAGCTTAGCTTGCTCAGTCCTCAGGAGCTGTTACTGATGCAATTGCTCATTTACAAATTCTTTCATCAGGCAAAGGGTCACCAAGACTCCCCTGAGAATCCCTGTCCCCATTGGCAGCAACAGCCCTTGCCCCTCCTCACAGTAGTCAAGGTAAATTACTTCCGCCAGATGCTAACTCCTCTCCTTGTTTGCTGGTCCACTGACATGAGGACATAAAGTCACAGTTTTTAAGTCCAGTGGGACCCTTACGGTGTCTCCTGCAAGGAGTATTAGCCCTACAATGGAAGTGTCAGCTGCCTGGGTACCAGGACCCCCAACCTCACAGAGCCTGAGTTCTATTGGGACAAGAAGCATAAACGCTCCCAGAGCGTCGCTGGGAGAGACGGCAACAGCAAATCAACTTTCAGCCCTCGGCTCCCAGACCCACAGATTTCAGCACAGGAACGGAACCATTTATGGCTGTTGATTGGTTCCTTAGACTACATCCGTGCTCCAACCCCACAGCTTTGTGTCTCCAAGCTCAGCCTTTAAAAGGTCACTATCGCCCTAGCTGGTTTGGTTCAGTGGATAGAGCATCGGCCTGCAGACCAAAGGGTCCCGGGTTCGATTCCAGTCAAGGGCACATGCCTGGGTTGCGGGCTCGACCCCCAGCAGGGGGTGTGCAGGAGGCAGCCAATCAATGATTCTCTCTCATCATTGATGTTTCTATCTCTCTCTCTCCCTCTCCCTTCCTCTCTGAAATCAATAAAAAAAATACTTAAAATAAAAATAAATAAATAAATGTCACTATCACTATTGCAACTGGGTAGTGGGTACATGATAGCACCAGGGGATCCCATGGCCATGTCCGTTGTCATACCTCTTTTGCCATACAGTGGGTAGGAGTCACTGACATGTGGGAAATTATGTAGGAGATGAAGTATTCCATATGGTGGTGCTGGGGGTAGGGGGCCCACAAACCCCGCCCAGTAAGGAAACATCACTGTTCTCTCTGGGACAGAAAGGCTCCAGTGTGATCAACCCATCAATACGTGGTGGGCCAGTTCTCCGTCAGGATGGTTTCACGTTGATGGCTCAGGGGCCCTTGCCCTTGGCAGACTTGACATTTCAGAGCAGCAGTCATGGGAAAAGCCTTGGTGAGAGGGACCCCCTGCCGTGGCTTTCATGGCTCCCATCCTTGCCACCAGTGACTATGGAGAGAGCCGGCAGACACCCACAGATGGGCTGTCCTGCCCTCCAGTTGTTAAATGTCTGCTGGGTAGTGGACGTTAATATGAGACCGCAAGACCTGCCTGCTGGGTGCCTGTTCTCTTAAGTCCTCTCATATCTCTTTTCCTCAGACATTCTCATCCCTGACCTTACGGTTTTCTTCCTTTCTGGCTCTTGACCAAACAGCCCAGCCATTAGCACTGCATCTTTGTATACGCTTTCCCCCGGTCACTTTCCTTGCAGCTCCACGTGAGGAGATTTCCTTTCACTGCAGTCCCCTCGGGCCGTGCAGCTTGGGCCTGTGGCTCTGCAGTCTCTTCAACTCAGGATGACACATCACCCCCCTGTGAACCAGGCCCGCGTTTCCTCCTTCTTCATCAGACGATTGGAGCGAATCCCCACCCTGTGAGGAGTAGGTATTCACTGAGAGAAACCGATGCACTGTGCGGGTCACATGTTGGTATAATTTACTCATGCCTCTGAACACATTTGGACTTGGTCCCAAATGTGCAATTTCCATCATAACTAAACTTCCCACTCAGATCAAGATGGGGAGGTGCAGTCCCATAGTCAGACAGTGTCCCATGACCATTTTAAGTGGTACCCAGAGCAAGAGTTCTCTGCCATGAGAATAATGGCCTTGCTCTGGGACCCTAGAGGTCTGCCCTACAATTCTTCTGTGACTGCTTGCCAGGGGCTGCCCCCAGCATCCTTGTCTGCCATGGAGCCCTCTGGCACCATGGGACCTTCCGGGTCAGATGGGCCCAGTGACAGGCAGTGCTGACCACAGCCTGGGTGTGCTGCAGAGCCCTCTCTTCGTCTCAGAAAGTCACTCTGTTTTAACCATGTGCAACTTTTAAGATTTAGTAGGATACTAAATTTTATTTGTCACTTTTCTAAATGTATTTTTGAATAAATAAAACATTCTAACAGTTCCAAAATTAAAAATATCTTAAAAGTATACAGTAAACTACCTCCCTTCTACCACTAATTTCCTTTTCAGAAGAAAAAATTCTGCACTTAATTTCTTGTGACTTCTTCTAGAGACACTTTATCCTTATATAAGCCCGTGTGTGTGTGTGTGTGTGTGTGTGTGTGTGTGTGTGTGTATCTTCTCACCTCCTGCCATTTTTAAACACAATTGGTAGTTTGTAGTTCTATTCCTTACTTGTTTAACTCAACACTATATTCGAGCCATCTTCACATAGCAACACATGAAGAGGGTCCTCATTATCCTATATAATAAAAGCCTAATATGCTAAGTGTCCAGTTGTCCGGTCATCCGTTCAACCAATCAAAGCATAATATGCTAATAATATGCTAAGGCAGCTCAACCACTGGCTATAATGTGCACGACCACCAGGGGGCAGATGCTCCGACCAGTAGTTAGCTTTCTGCTGGGGTCTGGCCAATTAGGACTGAGCAAGATGGGCTGGACATGCCCTGGAGCCCTCCTACAGTCCCCCCCTGGCTGGCCAACCTCCCACATCCCTCCCCGGCCCTGATCGTGCACCAGTGGGGTCCCTTGGCCTCACCTGCACCTTCTCACAATCCGGGACCCCTCAGGGGATGTCAGAGAGCTGGTTTTCAGCCCAACAGCTGAATGACCAGTCACTGACCACAGAGGGAGCGCCACTCAGCCAGAAGCCCTGAGCTAGGCTCACGGCTGGGGAAGGCAGCAGCGGTGGTGGGAGCCTTTTCTGCTTCTGCAGCAACACTATGGATGTCTGACTGACGGCTTAGGCCATCAGTCAGACATCCTCTGAGGGCTCCTGGACTGTGAGAGGGCGCAGGCCGGGCTGAGGGACCCCTGAGTGCACGAATTTTGTGCACTGGGCCTCTAGTAGTTTATAATCATCTAGGAGTCCATTAAATGGATGTGCCAAAATCTATTTAACTATTCTC